GTTACTGCTACCTGTTGCTGCTGCCTTGCACCAGTATTGCTGCCTGTTATTCTGTTGCTACCAGTATTGCTGCTACTGTTACTCTGTTACTGCTACCAGTATTGCTACTGTTGCTCTGTTACTGCTACCAGTATTGCTGCTACTGTTACTCTGTTACTGCTACCCTTGCTACCAGTATTGCTGCTACTGTTACTCTGTTACTGCTACCAGTATTGCTGCTACTGTTACTCTGTTACTGCTACCAGTATTGCTGCTACTGTTACTCTGCTGCCACCAGTATTGCTGCTACTGTTACTCTGTTACTGCTACCAGTATTGCTGCTACTGTTACTCTGTTACTGCTACCAGTATTGCTGCCTGTTTCTTGTTACTGCTACTGTTATTGCTGCTACTGTTACTCTGTTACCAGTATTGCTGCTACTGTTACTCTGTTACTGCTACCCTTGCTACCAGTATTGCTGCTACTGTTACTCTGTTACTGCTACCAGTATTGCTGCTACTGTTACTCTGTTACTGCTACCAGTATTGCTGCTACTGTTACTCTGTTACTGCTACCAGTATTGCTGCTACTGTTACTCTGTTACTGCTACCAGTATTGCTGCTACTGTTACTCTGTTACTGCTACCAGTATTGCTGCTACTGGACAGTGTGCGAAATAGTTTCCAAATTTTGCTAGCCAGTCGAGCTAGCTTTGCCTGAAAGCTACTAGCCCACAGAATAATTCACTAGCCCGAAATTTGAATATAGAAACTAAGCAAGGTAAAACATCAACATTTATCCGGCCATAATCTTGCATGAATTTAAAGTGTGTTATAACTTAACAAATCGGAGCGTGTGTTATATTTCAAAAATGAACCCATAAAATTCACTAGACAGTCGGGCTAGTGACTGTGGAGATTTACTGGCCCGACTGGACTTTCAGTAGCCACGGGCTAGCGGGCCAGTGGCTATTTCGCACACTGCTACTAGAACTAACTCAATTATTGCCACAGCAACCACTACTGCTGATAATGGAGTTGATATTATTGCTGCTGTTATTCCTGTTGTTGCTGATACTACTACTACTACAACCACCACCACTTCGACTACTACTGCTGCTGCTGCTGATGCTATTGATGCTGTTATTCCTGTTTTTGCTGATACAACTACTACCACTACTACTACTACTACTACTGCTGCTGCTGCTGCTGATACTGCTGCCGCTGCTACTACTACTGCTACTGCTACTATTACTACTACTACTACCACTACTACCACTACTACTACTGCTACTACTACTGCTGCTGCTACTGCTGCCGCTGCTACTGCTACTACTACTACTGCTACTGCTACTACTACCACTACCACTACCACTACCACTACCACTACTACTACTACTACTACCACTACCACTACTACTACCACTACTGCTGCTGCTACTGCTGCCGCTGCTACTGCTACTGCTACTACTACTGCTGCTGCTGCTACTGCTACTGCTACAACTACTACTACTACTGCTGCTACTGCTACAACTACTACTACTACTGCTGCTGCTGCTACTGCTACTGCTACAACTACTACTACTACTGCTGCTACTGCCGCTGCTACTGCTGCCGCTGTTGCGACTACTGTTACTATGTGCACTATTACTATAGTGCCATCATGAAACATGGACATACTTCCTTTTACAGGCAGTTTAACAAAACGTAATTTAAGCCCAAACTATATTGCTACTTTAATATTGCCAGTGTACCGTTTACATCTCTCAGGACAGCTGTAGTACCCCGCAACTGCTGCTACGACTTACACAAACCAACGCCCATCCTCCCTCGCCGACGTCCCTGCCAACATCACCACAATTGCGACATAAACAACATCTGCTTTCATATGCTACATGTATCGTTCATTTCTCTTGGTTCGGGTACAAACACCCCAAACTATATCCACCTCCAAATACTGCTGTGTCATTGTTCAGTTTACATAACCCGATCAATAGTAGTATCTTCATCAAAACAAACTTTACGATGCGTGAAATCCTGGACGAACTTGGTGACTGGGTGTCGGAATAATTATGGAAGATAATATGATAAGCGTTCACAAACGTACTCCATAGTTTCAAGTCCGGTTTAGGTGACCTTACCTATACAGATTAATTGAGAGCCCTCGTCACATATTGCCGGGCTGCCAGAACGCTTATTGATCCGTAGGGGAGAAAGACACACGTTTTCTGGTTTGGTGGAGAGCCCCGTAGCGACGGGCACACGGTGTCGGGTGATTGCACAACCAGCTGCTATGGCACGCTCTCACATCTGTGTCGCAAAGGATTCATTGATAAATATTTTATAAGTGATGACCCTTTGTATTGGGAAATGTATCCTCTACTAGAACCGTTGCTTTGAATACAGACGCTCAACATTCATGACAATTTCTGAATTTTATGTTCTGAAACATTTAAATTAATATCTCTTGTTATGAAATTATTTTCTAATTGTCAAAATAAACCTGCATTTGAATCGCAAATTTGAATCAAATATTTATGAAATATCAATTATTAATTTACGTAAAATATAAACCTGTCAGGTGTATTTCAAACAACCCTTTGATTATGTGCTCATTTGTAACAAAACAGTGTCTGTGAGCCAAGGTGTATATGTCTGCATACTTGCATCGCTCACCTGTAGTCGAGTGGGTTTCGTCGTCGGGTCACAAGTCACATGATCGCGGTCACTTGAATGTATCAACCGTCGACAAGAGGGGAATATTAACATAATATAGCTTCACTATCTTCAGTACGGTTGTCCGGATTCTCAAACATTACGACATAACCCATCTCCTACCAAGCAACCGTATTGACAAATTTATGTATATGAATCGTAGATATATATTTGACAGTGATGTAAAACAGTGCATGAGTGATAGGGCTGAGAGAAGAATTGTGAAGAAAATCCGTTATGCAGTAAGTTATAAATGTCGTAACAAGGCGTTATACCTCGTCTTGCAACAACAACGACGACGACAGCGACAACAGCAGCAGCAACAACAGGCACCTCCACCCCAATGATGGAGACACATGAAACCGGTCTGGGAGGGGCATCGGCGGCAGTATCCTGGCCACATCAAACGTAACATCCCCTTCCATGTATTTTAGGTAGAGGTCTGGTTGCCAGAGGGTGGACGGCGGTAGTTAATCTGATTGTATCACAAAGGGATAGTGACCGACAACAGTGTACAGTGTTTGTGATTAGATCACGCAGCGTTAAAAATCATGTATGTTACATGATTTGCCCTCGATTGGTGTGATAGTACCCGTAGTTCCTGGGGGTAAGCGGCTGTTGACAAGATCATATCAAGCACGTAGAGTGAGATTGCAGTACGCACTTTGAAAGAAAAATACATGAAATATAAGATTATTGATACAGAGAAGAGAGAGAGAGAGAGAGAGAGAGAGAGAGAGAGAGAGAGAGAGAGAGAGAGAGAGAGAGGCTGTCAGACAGACAGAGAGAGATATATATATATATATATATATATATATATATCAGACAGAGAGAGAGAGGAGGACAGAGAGAGAGAGAGAGAGATATAGGCTGTCAGACAGAGAGAGAGAGAGAGAGAGAGAGAGAGATAGGCTGTCAGACAGAGAGAGAGAGGAGAGAGAGAGAGAGGCTGTCAGACAGACAGAGAGAGAGAGGAGAGAGAGGCTGTCAGACAGACAGAGAGAGAGAGAGAGAGAGAGAGAGAGAGAGAGAGAGAGAGAGAGGAGAGAGATATATATATATATATATATAGACAGAGAGACAGAGAGAGAGAGAGAGAGAGAGAGAGAGAGAGAGAGAGAGATAGGCTGTCAGACAGACAGAGAGAGAGGAGAGAGAGAGAGAGATAGGCTGTCAGACAGACAGAGAGAGAGAGAGAGAGAGATAGGCTGTCAGACAGACAGAGAGAGAGAGAGGAGAGGGAGAGAGAGAGAGATCACTGCATGCTTGGGAGAGCCTCTCTGAAGCAAGCCTGAAGCCACTGTCAATAACTCGTCTATGAATGCTAACATTTATCAAGCTGTATGTTCGCAATATGCCTGTTTTTGTTAAGGTTTCATTAACGTGGTATACACGTGCACGACGTAAGTGTCTATTTACACACACGTGCACGACGTAAGTGTCTATTTACATACACGTGCATGGCGTAAGTCTTAATATATTCTACGAAAAGGAGATTATCGTTTCTGAACTAAAGTGTCATATTTCCACATAACTTAAAACACACACAGCGCTAATGCGGAACAGTTGATTATTTTTTTAAATGTAAAAACAGAGGTTCAGTTTAACAGAATTGTATTCTCAAAAGTGGCTCAGCCCTCTGATTATATTTCATCTGCGCTTTTTTCAAAAGAAAAAAGTTTTGATCAGGTTTAAGCATAAAAAAACGACATTAGAGTTCTACATCTGTGCTTCATGCTAAAGAATCAATAATACTGCTCCACCAAGAGTTACGACTTACAATCAGAATAAGTATTGATTGGGAGATGTCTGCTTTTTTCAACTAACAGCAAGACGGATCTGTGAGCCATAGCTCAGGTTTGTTTACCATGTTGAAAAAAAGACGAACTTGTTACAAAATGTTTTTTACGCTGGAAACTTAACGAGGCATCTCTCGGGTTTGATGCATAGACAGACGTCCATCACGTTATCTGGGACGCAGGTTACGCTACGTCTCCCTGTAGAGAAGGAGAACGTATAGATTATCCGTACTATTTAACGTAATCGCACTACCTCGACCCCATGTTGTTCGGTCTGAGTTTGTTTCAGTGGAATGGGTCTTCCTTGGGGTGTGGTGACATGTCAATTCCACTTGTCGTCTTCCACATTTCAACTCACCCGAAACCTTGGTTTTACCACAGCACGTGGACTGCATCCGCAACGCGCCACTACGACAGCGACAACACAAAAGGATTTTAGACTCACTACCAATGAGTTCACTCAGGTGCGGACTGCACTGACTATATACAGACTGCTTGCATGTAAAGACAGAAAATTGTTCAAACATACCATTATGTTACGAATGAAGTTTATTCAGAGATTAGGCTTGATTACACTGTGTTCGTCATTATTATTATCATTATTATGATTATTATTTTTATCAAAAAAAATTGTAGAGAAATGAGCATTTGAACAAGAAGTGAACTTCGTCGACTGAAATATGACATAAGACACAAAGTCATATTTCTCTGTTAATATTACTTCAATTCTAATAGCCTAAGTATTTTATATTTAATGTCTTATAAATATTAATTAGACTTCCACTGCAGTTGGGCCGCAGACAAACAATATACACAACGTCTATTACTAATCACTATCCGCTGTGTACAGTTCATACAACAGTAATGTTCACAGGAGACTTGAAATGAACTTTAATTTCAGAAACACTTGATGTTTTTTAAGGGATGATATGTTAGTATGTCGTTTCCATTGAGAAGACATACCCATAATTCTGTATATACATTCTCCAACGATGTACTGTGAATTGTGACATGAGTAACATAGTACCGTTAGGCATGGGTTGTTTATTCATATCTTTCGTTATGTGGACATGTAGTAATAAATAGGTCACACTTCACACAAAAAGTAACGTCTGTTAATAACTTTGTATACAAATGACCTGCCTTAAAGAACAATAAATATTATTTTTCATGCATGAAAAAATAATTACTATCAATACTCGGAAATACAACCAGTATGGTCTTTGATGTGTATTGGTAACAAAGTTTTTCGGGAAATCCGTAAATGATTAAGTTAATAGAGGTTATCTTTTAATAAAGAGTTAATTGTGTCCACTCAGGAATACTGGCTGTGCTTGTGGACTACTCGAGATTCAATCACCTGTGAAGGCTTATACCGCCCTGACTCAAGCAATCAGCTCAAAAACTAGAAAAGAAACTCTCGAGATTTGGCACTGCCTCCACGGTTGAGGCGTTGGTAAAAAGATTGTTTTGACAGAAATTCAAACAGAGTAACTATTCTATTGTTTGAAGGGATTAACGCTCCGGTCAGCTCGAGACTGACCACGCGCCACGTGAATCTGGACAATGAGTGACCGGTACGAGGTCAAAAGTTGTTGGAGTTTTCTTCATCTGAAACCAGAACTCAATGTCAAGAATAGCAGCACTCCATATTTCACTGGAATGACATTTGAAGAAAGTGGATCAGGTTTACTCGTCCAGATGACTTATCACATACATTAAGTTTGAACTTCACAAAAATATCAGATAATAATTGTTGTTTGTCAACGATTTCTTTCAGCGAACCTATACGAATGTAATACGATGCTTCAAAAGTACAAATTTGAAACCCGAACTATCTAACATTGTCAATTTCATCCAAGATGCCAGCTTGAGTAATGTTCATTGAGGAACACAACCTGCACCATACGTTGAAACCTAAAATATTTATGAAAATCATATTTGATTCATTTCTATTATCAATCAATACTGTTTTCTTAAGAAAATTATCAGTTTTATGTATTCAACGATCGTTCTGTAATTCACACAGCATCACTCTGATAATGATAGATTAAGTAACGATATAGAAGCCTGATATCAAAACAGTGTTCCATAAACACCAGATTAAATTCTGTGACGGGCGATAATTACTAATTGAGATCAAAGACTACGTGGCTTGAAATTACATTAACACTTTGATCATTGAGCATTGACTGCAATGTGATTGCAGCATTCTCATCCCATGTATACATCATAGTGCGTGATGCTTATTCACGGGTAAAGAGACCCTTCGGATAACATACAATGATTATTATGTTATTACAGCTATCGACATTGTGGGTACAGATCGATTCTCAAACCGGGTGGAAATAAGAACGAGACATTTGGTTTTCGATTGGTAGTAATTTGTACCGATCAACCGTTTCGTGTTATTGCATACAAGTATCGTTTATTGAAGATGTTTTTTAGTACTCCGCGGTTTTGTAATGCAAATTGGAAATTCTTTATAGTTTATCCAATTATGTACTGTTAATTAATTCGGTTAATGTTTAGAAGTAATTGTTAATCGTCTCTCGAAATTAACGAGATGCTCTTGGATAGGGATATAAACGAAAGGGTATTGATGACGAATAGGTCGTTCATAGCAGTGCACTTCGGTAACATAACCTTTTTTACTAAAGGGATGACACAGTGTAAAAGAATTATTGTATCACGTGGATGTTGGTATTCATTGTATCACGTAAATCTGTTTATGATATACATTCGAAGTGTAATGTACACGCATTACAGTGTCAGTGATTAGGAGAGAAACATAGTTCCAAATATATACAGACGATTTTACTGTGAAACAGTGAACATGTTACTTTTTTAGTCAAATAATTGGACATATTTGTGTACGTTATTTATATTGTGAAAACTTTGGAATAATAATTGAAGACTTCCGAGACGCTTTTGCTGATACTGAAATGTAAACAAGCTTTATCGAATCCCGTGAGACACGTTTAAGCCAGTCCTTGTATTTAGATATAAAATTTTCAGTATTTTGTATTTTGAGACGGAATTCTTGGAACATCTCTCCAGCAGTCACAACAAACTGAAGAGTGACCCTCACCCCTTTTCCCGACCCCACAATGATCTACCACATGGCCCAGGCCGAGTCTAGTATTGCAGATCCCCTGGTCTAATCTCGCCGTTCGGGATCCTTCTCCCCGTTTGGACTGCTTCCTTACGGCAGCGTTCAGATTACGATGTTAATTCCGAGAGCGTCGGGGGGCGGTCCCCCACCGAGGCCTGTTCCCGAGCCCTAGCTCGCCAAGGCTGAGTGACAGCAGCCGATAAGCGCAATAGATTGGCCTCATGTGAAAAAAACACGGGCTTGTTGTGTGTGAAATGAAAACACGCTGCTTTAATTTGTTGAGACGGGGTGAACGGTGGGGAATTTGGACTACTGTGCAATGATGGGGAAAGTGTTTAAAGTCGGTTTGCTAGCGTGGAAGACCAGCCCAATGATGATAACTCATAACAACCAAACATTGATATAGCTACATCACAGAGCAGCGTTGTACAGCCAACTCGACTGCATATTACACACACAATCAGTGATATATACTTTTAAACGTACCACCCTTTTGATAGCTAAATTTAATATTTTAAAGTGTGAGATTTTTTCAAGCGTGTATCATATTAAAGCAAACACGATCCTGATGATAAAGTTGACATATTCCTTATTTATTCTTAATCTACTTATTCCGCTATGATAGTCCTGGTATGTAAACACTTTCGCGTGAAATAAATTATCACTACAGCAGTGAAAATAACGAGAAGGATTTGAAATATATGAATATGAGCTTATTTCAAATGTTGTGGAGACCAGAGCGTGGTTTCACGATGGAGCTTGCGGTACCCTCTGTCCCAACACAGAAACCCGGAAGGATGAAGATGACTGATGATTGTAGACTGACTAGGATGCTGATCAACTACTGGCTGCTTCGTCCTTGGCTACACACCCAATACATCAGCAATCCAGATGTATTTATTATTCATATGTGTAATAATGTGAAATACACGCGTAAAGAAATACAACCCACGTTGTACCTGTACTCTCATCTGATATATACAACCCTCATATACCTGTACAAAGTTGGAATAAAATGGCATGAACAAATAATAAACAGTTTAACATAAATACAATTAAACATATATTTTACACAAAAGCCCATAAGTATATTTAGGTGCAAGAAACCAAAGTTTTATTCCTCATGTATGCTGCTAAATGCCATGTACCATTCTCGTGTCGTTAATACTGTTCGTTCTTTGTTAGTATTGTTCACCAGCCCAGAACGTGTATACTGTTTATGAAATCATATTTTCTTTCATCTGCCAGGGCATCTTATAAATACACTTTCGCTCTTGCTCATAACCCCCCTTTGCTATGTATATACGCATTTGTATATTTAGACATGTTGGTTTACTATGGTGAAAGGCCCTTACGTTTCGTTACGACTGAGTCCTAACCCTCACGCTCGGGTTTGTTTGGGGGGAGCTGTCGGGTTTGACTGACAGCTATGTCTCTACGAGCGAGGGCAGTACTCCACGAGCGAGGGCTCGCATAGGCAGCTTTCACTCTGCTCTTCGCCGAGTCGCACATGTCTGACACGCCCACTCACTATAATTAGCAGGTCACGTGCTCCCGTCACGGTGTGACGACCAATCAAATGCGCAGTTTCTAGGCTAGGAATTTATAGAGGTATTTTGTGTCATCAACCTTGCACGAGTTTTCAAGAGTGTTTGAGAGTTGCCGGGAACGAACGTACACATAACTGCGAGTCCTTCTTTCCACGTGGAGTGTTGTTGCTCAAAACCAGCCAAAATTTCACCCTCAAAGTCCGGGGACATGACTGCTGAGACCCAGGCCCCAAGTAAGTTATCATTGCGATGTTAAGTCATTCAACTAACTAGCTCTGTCGCCCGTCTCTGATATCACTTAATGTTGCGACGCTCGGGCCGATTTGTCCACCTACGTTCAACGTTTGACAGGTCGCCTAATGTACCAATAATTAAAATAAATTTGTGGTTTTGGGGACTCGTCTAATTTTACCGTTGTATTGCAGGCACCAAGCGACGGGTGTCGGTCTGTGTCGGCTGTGGCTCGCAGATTCAGGACCAGTTTATTATGAGGGTCGCCCCCGACTTGGAGTGGCACGCAGGGTGCCTTAAGTGTGCTGACTGTGACCAGTATCTCGACGAATCGTGTACATGTTTTGTCAGGGATGGGAAAACCTACTGTAAACGGGACTACGTGCGGTAAGTCTTCATTGTATTGTCATACTGGAAGTACTTGTACAAAGTTTACAAAGTTTGTTGTGGTTGGAAGATTATGTCAAATGTAGCATGAATCATCTTGATATAAATTCTTATCTCAGATTACGAATCTGAAACGCAGGAATTCTTAAATTGTACGTTCATATATTGTAACCCTGACAATGAAAACTTCAAGATATTTGTCCATACGGTATTGTATACTTGTGTTGTTGTCGAAACCAACCCGGCGAGATCTGTTTACCCTAGAAACTGCATGTCTAACGATACATATGTAAAACCCACAGTGTATGTTATAAATGACATGAATCAAAAATATTAAACTAAATGGGAATTTATAAACCATTAATAAATAGTGACTAAGATGTTAGTGAGATCCAATTTTAAAATAAGTGACATTAGAATAGAACAAGAAAACACGTGTAGGATGCGAGCTCCGACTGCATGTACACGTGTATATTTTGTATGATGTGTAGATATTCTGTTGAGGATTTAGCATATATGAAACACCAGATGCTTTTTGTTTATTATATGATGTATAAACAACGTGCCATCGTAAACAGTATGAACCGGCCGCGTATGAAATATCCCATAACATATTAAATATAATAGATCATAACAACATATAAATGTAAATAGATCATGTTCACATGCACAATTATGTGAAATAAGCGTCGATTTATTTATATTAGATCGTTTTATAAACCGTTTGGGTAGGTCGCTACGGTACCTATATGCGTGTGCCAGTGGGGTGGAGAGCTGCTGTAGGCAGGTGTCGTTGACAGCGACTTTATGTCAGTCATGATGCGTACGGTCGTCGTACTGCGACAGATCAGAGGCGAGTCAGGGCGATATATCCGGATGGGGCAGTGTCAGCATATACACTCTTCAGTCACAATACAGCATAGGCAACATATTGCTGTATGTCACTCTGACATTAATAGTGTAAATATTGGTCACGTACGTAGGTATTGTCACGTATAGTTATATCTTCAGCCTTTCAGAATGTTCATCAATGAAAAGTTCGAATAATCAAAGACCTAATAATATTTCATGGGATGGCATTTGATATTTTAAATTATTACATTGTTATAGAATTGATAACAACTGCAATTGACATATCTCACTCTCTATTATTCCCATGTCTGTAAGTCATGTGCGCGTGGACATGTACAAGTTGCGTGGACACACTGAAAGCTGAGTGTCTGATATACGTCTCGGTAACGCAATACTCCAGTATTAAAACAAGAATCCATCTGAGGTAAAAGTCAGCTAAACAACACTTCAGCGATCTGTGAAGAATTACAAAAAGTAGGACAGGTGAAAGGCAATCATTGTTTGGGGATGAGGTTTGACATGGATTAGTAAAGCGTCGGACATAGTGACAGTTCACAAAATCAAATGTCCATTGGCTTTTACTCCAGTCGTGTTTAATGAAGGCATCACGAGCGCTGGCTATGCCTCATTAGAGTTAAAGCGCGAGTACAAGGGGGCCCAATGAAGCGTCCCTGGTCCCCCCGTCCCCTCCACCCTAACTTCTCAGTGTGCCCCAGCTGGCCTGTCGACTGTGTCGCGCGTCTGTTTTGGGGGTCATAAGAAACTGAACGCTGGTCTCGTATGAATGGTTTTAGTGTCTGAATCCACCGTCTCTTAATTAGAGACTGTGTCTTGACAAGGGGAAATGATGTTCAAATTTCCGTTCTTTCTTGTAATAACTCCGTGTATTATCAATATTTTATTTGAGGATAGTATTTCAAATTTCTGAGCGATTAAACAGAAGGGGTAACTGGCCCGTGAAAACACGCGTCTCCACTACCGGGGCTTCTGTTTATAACATAAACATGCTTCGTTGTATGTTTTTCTTTGGCGAAGTATTTATGCAATTTTCATAAAGATAACATACTATGTCAAAGGTCGTGGATTAAATTTTTGAAATAATTACATATTTAATTTCTTTCTCCATAAGAAAGACTTGCTCATGTTCTTTCAGCTTTTCACACTGGCGATAGGCTTGCGTGGAAAACATACAGTCCTACTATAAACAAGGCGGAAATGGCATTTAATGTTACAAAATATAAAACAAAGGTTTATGCCTCGTTTATCTTATGTACAAGCATTTAGACCATTGCTACACTTTCCAATAGAAACGTTCTCATAACAGTCAATACGATGTCTTTCACAAATGGGAGAGAGTGTTTGGCACAACCAACCATGACAGCGTGATGTCGCTCTTACCCCTTTAATAGGAGTGACAAAATTCAAGTGCATTCGTGCTTTTCATCCAAAAACCTTTTAAAGCAATCGTCTTAATTACTCCCGCTCACAGAGGTCAGAGATTACAGTCCTATTGATTCAATCTACTAAAAGCACCAACAAGCGCGATTGCTTGTAAATAACCTGGTCTACCGCTGATCTTTGTGTGACACTATCACACTTTCAACAGCCCCTTAACAACGTATCCCGTAATAACATTTTTAACTTTCAAAAATAATTAAATAACAGGACTGTGATTTACCGATTTGCCAGTTATTTCTGCCACATACACATCAAGGGATTTTTCAAGTGGATTGACAGTGGGTTAATATGTGTATGTAAATTGACTGTATATTTTAAAAGTTTTAAAAATCACTATTAACATATACCTAGATAGGTATTTATTTTGGTTTTATTGATTATATCTACATATCTGTTAAAGAAAATTAATAGATAAATTATCAATTCGCCTTTCACCTTTGTACACAGAGTGGGTGGTACGAAAGTGGATTGACAATGGTTAATATGTGCACGCATGTATATTGACGATATATTTTGAAAGTTACTATTTTAATTACTATTAAATTGTATCTAGATAAGTATTGATTTTAATTTTGTTTAGTATATCTATATACCTGTTAAATGTGATAGATAAGTTATCAAATCACCTTTGTACACAAAGCTATACAACTAGTCAATACCAATAACAGCCTGATAAAGAAGGTGTAATCAATGTCTAGCTATACACATGATTAAAGAGTTCGCTAAGGAAATCGTTTTCCTCACCAACAAATTCAGATGGTTTCTTTGATAAATGTATTAATTATTTGAAGAGTTTGAACACGCTAATAATTAAGGTAATTTGAGAGGTGAGCGTACTTCTACGGCCGATAGCCTTCCTTGAAAGTCTCCGTGAATCAATGCTTTGAGAATTAGAGATACGATGAGAGCGATTTATTAGATAGAATTCAGTTTTCACATAGATATCTTCAAATACATAGATAGGGTCTACAGGTTCTATACTGAAATAATTAGAGACCTTCCAAGGCACCATTAACCGTTCAGTTTGAACATACTGCTGGAATTTGTTTCGATCCCAAATCGACTTTCTTCTCGAAATCCGCTAAGAGTTTTCCGATTTCCGATTCAAAGAAAACGCAGTTTATCATCTCAAGTTTGTCTGAGATAAACAACAAGATCTGCTAACTAAACAAAAAATATTGGCTAATCTTTTCCTTAAACACAGAAATCTTTAATTTTTGAGCTCATGGACTAGAATCCGGCTTTGGGTGTAATGTGCGTGTTAACGCTATAGGAAAAGGTTTACTTCCCAAATCGCGACATGCATATTTAATAGAAAAAACAGAAAGCGAATTCTTTAACTAAAGCATTCCTATGAATTTTTCATGCAAATATTGATAGCACACCCCAACTTTTGACGATTGAATTTCAAGTGGTTTATTGTCGCTTGCGTGCACTTGGACGAAAGGGAATCTTTAATATCAATGACAATAGTAAACTTTAGTTAACATTGAAGACTTTTATCATTATGTGCTTACAGATAGAGTAGATGAAAATTACACGAATTACACGACTCGTGGACAAGTATTTCCGGTATTTTGGGCCACATTGTATAACGGAGCAAGCATCATTCTTGTTGAACTATTTCACCAGTTTGTATGCCTTTGTTTAATAATTACATTTAGACTAGAATAACACTGATTGTAGGTTTCTATGATTATGCAGTAAATATAAATATTATATACCATATATTATGCAGTTATAACAATATGTTTATACCTTATAGCTGGCTACTGATTTTTTTAATGAAATGTTTCACAAAAGGATTTATTAAGTGTTAATTGAAAATTAATGGGGATTTTCAACACATGTCACTTCGTAAATTCGTTGTGGATCATATATGTCAGCCGAATGCAATTTACAACAATAAAGTTGTGCACGTGACGTGACTAGTTGATAAATACAATACTGAATGATATGGTAAGCCGATGTTATCATTTACATGCATTATTTTCAAATATCGATCCTTTTCAGTATTTTAGCATGAAATTATCACATTCCAGTCTCGATAAATAGGGCATTAAATATATTCAGTTTCAGTGATAATATAGATATTGTGCAATGGGTCACGTGACACCAATGGCAACATGTTTGGTAATTGGTTTGTAAAAGGATTAACGACTCTAAAAGAACGTCACACGTACAAACATCGAACGTGCTACATTGAGAAGAAGAATCGCCACACAAAAAATTAAAAGACATGTTAATGAATGAAGTGAAAATAATTAAATTTAATACATCCTAATGAACTATATCATATTACGTATAGATAGGTACATTTTTATATAATAGTATGATTAATTTGCTTAGAGTATTTATCGAATTTGAATCCGACTCCCGGTGAGACAAGCAATCAAATAGCAACGTTCTGTTTTGCAATTCACACTTAAAAACACTAACTGTTTCTATGTACCCGCTACAGTGTAGGATATAATAGCGATATTGTACATACTGATAGAATCTCTGCATTCCCTAGCTCGAGGTACGTGGTAACTGTCCGAGTGACTCTCGCATGAAACTTTATCACGCTTATTCAATATGTATTGACACTGTGTAATCCATCTCTCTTTATTTTCAGGTTATTCGGGACAAAGTGTGCTAAGTGTGGTTTAGGATTCAGTAAGAATGACTTTGTTATGAGAGCAAAAACAAAAATATTTCACATCGACTGCTTCCGTTGTGTAGCATGCAGTAGACAGCTAATACCTGGAGATGAATTCGCCTTGCGAGACGACGGGCTGTTCTGTAAGGCTGATCACGATGTCGTTGAACGCGCCTCGGGTCCTCTATGTGACCCTGGGAGCCCACTTAGCAATAACAATAACAACAATAATGACTCGTCAAGTGTAAACAACAACAATAAGAAAAGCCACTCAGAAAAGAATGGACTACAACTTGCAGGTAAATATTTCTACATATTTCTTCATATTTAACATGTATATATAATGTGATACTGTGCTGTATAGATTCCCATGTGACGTCGAATTATGAAATTGTGAAAGTGTTCTCGAAATGGATAACACGAAGCCAACCTGATTGTCATTTTGTATTTTGTCCTAGTATGTGGATGCGGCCATATTGACATCCCACACAGAACGACGATGTTATCTAAAATGTATCTATATGACTATAAAATCGTTACGTGCTCTGTGTAAATTATTTATACTGACTTAGCTGAAACTGATTTACCAACTAAAAAGACTGACGTATTACAGAGATGATTTGTAAACACAGTTTCGTAAATTTGAATTTTTTAAATATGTTTACAGGGCAACCATGTTAATGACTAAAACAGGCGTTTTGTTATTCCAACATGTGAGTCTAATATAGTAATAGTATCCATATGGTTTTCTAGGAGAATATAATATATATTTAACTGGTTATTGATTTATATTCTTCTGCAAAACGATATGTATTAATACATGATTTATATCCTTATTTATGGTTCATAAATTGTTATTGGTATCAAAAAGGCAATGCATACTTATAACAACACTCGTGTTAACGTAGGGTTTTTTAATAGGGAGTTTGAGCTGCATGTGTGTACAAAGACTCTGGCCAGGTGTGATGTTGTTACCTTTTTTAAAATATCAGATGTCACTATCGATTATTTATCGGTAATTTGTAATGACGACACAAAGAAGTGGCTAATGAAGCACACTTTACGATGGTTGTAAATTGCTGCACATCTCCCGTTATGATGAATTATTCCCCAACACATCCACATTACCCGCAAGATGAGAACTCATTAATGCTTAAAACAAATAGACATTTGACATATCGAGCTTGAGTAAGCAGCAAACTAATATAAGCCCGAGGCTGCTAAGTTTCAAAATGTACGTTTTAACCGATTTACGTCGATTTCTCAAATGTCAAACTGTCGACAGCTCTTAGGGAATCTAGACTTTCAAAAAGCCATTTATCTTCAACGATGTTTTAAAAATCATTAGGAAATGTATACTATAGATAGGCAAAAAGCTATTGATAGCGGACCTTTGAGGGGCTGGTCTGGCGGAATGACACAAGATAAGATAAAGTGAGTAAAATGACCACATGAATGTAGCCCTCCGCCCGTTATCAGATTGTGTTCGCGATCTAATCAAGACATGCCGACCTAGGTCGCATTTATCTCTTAACTCTACATTAACCACCCTGCTTTTGATTCAATCATGTAAACCATGTCTGCATTATATTTAATAATTACACAAAGGTTAAAGGGTAGCTCGGAGACACACGCACACAAACAAATAGCTCGAATATTTTAATTCCGGAAAGACCGTAACAATGGTAAAATGGGCTTCTAATCTTGTATATTTGCATGCGATGGGGGAATTACCCAGCGAACAGAGGCGATGGTGGTTTGCAAAGGAAATAAATTCCGATTATCTTTGTAGCAGATTGTATTTTCCTCTCGCCTTAATTTGCTTGTCTTGTCCCAGATGAAACTGTTCGCTACACGACTAGTTATCAGATATAAAATGTGCGGCACTCGATCCGATCGTCTGTGGACCCAACGTGTGAAAACGTGTAATTAATTTGCCCACAAGGGACATGCATCGCCAGTCAGAATGGGTTCAGTATGCCGTCTATCTGGCAATCTTTTCAACAAAACCCAACCGGGACCAGTTCCACAGCCGATCCTGGACACACAACTTTTGATATTTCGGTTTCACTAATTGATAATCGTCCGGCTATTAGTCTCCGACAGTTATTGGATGTCACAATGGCCTACATGTTCTAACAGATAGCTGTCGAAAGCCCATGTGGACGCATCCCCGTCGTATTGTCCTGAAACTCGATCGTCCTCATCCTGGATGGCATTCGACCCAAGACATTCCCCGCGCCATCAATGAATCATTTCGGCAAACATGCAACTTTTATTACATGCTGGTTTATTTTCATACACCAATAAATAAAACAAAAGCCCCCTCATCGAACCTGATCTTCCCAATTTGAGATTAAATCGGATTTAATCGTGTCCGGTTTCTAAAGTTATCAAACTTGGGATGTGTTCGGATGAGAAACCGGGCCGCTCCGACACAAACAATAACACAGCTTCCTCTGTTCTCATCCAGATTTCCCCGATTCTTCCGACTCTGTATATTTATCAAAAAGATACAATAATCACAGGAACTGCACAAAACACCCGACAGCAGATTGTATTGTTACGCAAAGCCGGTCCCACCGAGTTCCAGGGTTTAAACAACAGGGATGGTAAGGGTAGGTAATCAGGACCCCGCCGTCACACCGTCGCTAGATGGCGTAGTTTGCCCAACGGAGTCATTCGTTCATCTTATCAGCTCAGCTATCCATCAGTTCTGTCCTCCTCGCAGTAGGCTTCGATGTACTTGTGACGTTCAAATCGGGATCATCTACATTTCTGGCAAAAGTTTACCAACCAAAGCTTTACCTTCAAAAACATCGCTACAGATTTATTAATAAGAAAACTAACTTGCAGAACTAGTCCACATATCATATTGAATCGTCTCCGAGTGCATGTGTATCTGAGTTACAAAAAGCCCCTTTGTACAGCGAAACCTCGATAATGCGGATCCTGTTGGTTCGGGGACATATTAACGTGTTAAACTGTGTCAATAAACCGTAGAAATCCATACGAAACTTGTGAGTGATACACCCACCATTCTATTTCGACTGCATCCACTTTTGACGATCGAACTGTATGCTATTTTGTACACCACTATGTTGTAGGTGTAACGAAATACGCTACCTTGTTCACTGCATCTTGTGGTAAAACAGGAAATACGCTACCTAGTACATTGCATCTTGTGGTAAAACACGAAATACGCTACCTTGTACATTGCATCATGTGGTAAAACACGAAATACGCTACCTTGTTCACTGCATCTTGTGGTAAAACACGAAATACGCTACCTTGTACATTGCATCTTGTGGTAAAACACGAAATACACTACCTTGTTCACTGCATCTTGTGGTAAAACACGAAATACACTACCTTGTTCACTGCATCTTGTGGTAAAACACGAAATACACTACCTTGTTCACTGCATCTTGTGGTAAAACACGAAATACACTACCTTGTACATTGCATCTTATAGCTATTACGAAATACGCTACCTTGTACATTGCCTCATGTGGTAAAACACGAAATACGCTTTCGTGCAATGCAGACACAAGCTAACAAACACGTAATGGTGTATACTAGACAAAGCCTCAAACAGGCCAGGCAAAATCTTGCTTAAGTTTGTTTTAATCTGATTAAGTGGTCCAGAAGGGGTTCTGGACAGATGAAGTCCATCACATTGCTGGTTGAAGCATGTACCTACATCCCCACAGCGTCATGGGGACGAAGACCCCTTGATTTGTAGATACGGGCTGCGAAGAACATTGTGTATGAGAAACAGTACTTGAGAAATACATTGTCAGCAGGACTATTAGCGTATTGTTCATCCTTGTACGCGGGGTGGTCGGATAGCCCAGTGATTTGCGCTGTCGCTCTATACACCGATTGTCGGGGTTCGATTCCCTACATTTGTGAAGCCCATCTCTTGCATCCCAAGTCGCGATACTGTTGAGATATTGGTAAACTCGACGTAGAACCATACTCACTCACTTACTCATCCTTGTTTACATGAATAGATGCTGATCTCACCAACTGTAAAAAGAAACTATCGGCTATAATTAACGAGGGCATTAATCGCTCAACTTCCGTGTTTTGGTATTGTTTGTTTCTGAAGTAGATATATCTGAATCCCATGATTCACATGTCACTGCCACGCGGACGTGTGTCACATGTCGACCTTGACATTGTGCTAAATATCTTCTTCGTTGTATGTTTTATAAAAGAATGGTATTATATTTAGATTTTTAAGAAATTAATAAATCAAAAGTCTGATGAGCTGTAGGCATTATGCTCATTGTCTTGTCTCAGACTGTATTGACTGGACGCGACATTAACCTTGAATAGTTCGGAGTTATCTCTTTTCTGTTTGTTTCTGAAGATGTATAAGTAATGGTTCCCACGAAACATTGAGCTTTATCAAGAACTCACAAACATATCATTGTTTCTCACAAACAAACAATTTCTTATTGTGTTGTGACCGGTGTTATGGATCCAGTTGTATGGCAGGATCATTGGCGTGCAGTATTCAGGTACAATATAATCCTCCCTGGAAGGACGTTTTTCGTGGTGTTAGTCCAGTGGTATTTTACCAGTAGTGAGAAGACGTGGGTTTGGATTCATGAAAAACAATGGGTGACCACTTAAGCCCCACAGCGCGTTCTCCTACCTTTGAGACATTATTCAAACTTTCGAGCTGTCTAGGGGAACTAGGGTAGCCCAGTGACTAAAGCGTTCACACCGAAGACCTGGGTTCGCTTCCCCACATGGGTACAATGTCTGAAGCCTATACGTGGTATTGCTGTAATATTGTTAAAACGTCGTACAACCACACACTCACTCACCATCCTTCCTGCTTCAGGCCCAGTTTGTTTTGTGATCACAGAACTGTAACAAAGGGGGGGTTAGTGGGAAGCACAGTGGATAAAGCGTTCGCTTTTCAGGCCGAAGACCCAGATTCGATTTCACACACGTGTACTCTGTGCCTATTTCTGGTGTCCCATGTTGGACGTTTGCTGGGATTTGCTAGAACATACTCACTCACTCTGTGCTAAGGTACGGAAGGAAGAGATAGGAATAGGATGCAGCTGAAGACTGCTACATCACATTTACTGTTATTCTGTGAGCATGGAATAATACATAGTACAGTATACTACGTTTATAATGAACACGGTTACAACGAACTACGGATATAACGAACTATTATTTTGGTCCCGACCCTTGCTGTATATTTAGTCGAAATACACATGCAGCACGTATAACAAACTACGGTTGTAACGAACAAACATTAGTTGCCCCATTGTGTTCGTTTTAACCGTAGTTTTATGTTTCTCATTATGATTACTGACACGAATATTCCCACCCCCAGGTCGAGCAGAGCAGGCAGGCGGAACCAAGCCTGCTCGGGGTGGCCATAAGTCTGATCACAAGACCACGCGGGTGAGGACGGTGTTAAATGAGAAACAGTTACATACGTTACGGACTTGCTATAACGCGAACCCCAGGCCGGACGCTCTCATGAAGGAACAGCTGGTGGAGATGACCGGCCTCTCCCCCCGGGTCATCAGGGTGTGGTTCCAGAACAAGAGGTGTAAAGACAAGAAGAGAAGCATCCTCATGAAGCAGATTCAGCAGCAACAGGATAAGGTAAGGCGACTGGGATGCTGTGGGGAGTGGAACACCGGGTGCTCACGTGTGGATTAGTGATGAAACTATTGACAGGGCCAAGATTTTCGAAGCTCTCTTAGAGCTAAGATAGTCGTAGGTTTATGTTAATGTATGGCATTTATGGCCATCTTAACACTAGGTGAGCTTCGAAAATCTAGGTCTTGGATTAGTTACATGAGTTCAGTACATATTTAGGAATCAATCTAAGTTTTGGCGCGGGGTTAATTGTGAACAATATATTTCTCAGAAAATATATGGAGGGTAGTTCAGTTCGATTTCTTCAAGTGTTTATGTTGCGCAAGTGTTGATTGGCCACCAATTTGGTCGATGGTTGGGCGATGGTTCCAAAAGGTTATGTGGACATTTGATGTAGCTGAGATTCCAGGTTCGCGATGTCTGAGTGTAGAAGAGCATCGATGATAGCATAAATAAGGCTTCTCGAATTGCATATTTATGAGAGGCAGATGGTTAAATGTTTCTGATATGCTGGAATCGTTTATCACGAAGGTGTCTGGTGTTGGTGTGCTTGTCCAAACTACCATCTAGTAACCTTGTCTCTCTTGGCAAATAAAGAATCGGCGGAGGGTTTGTTGACTTACTCCGCTTGCATAGGACGCTGGTCATGATATCGACCACTTGTTTGTCTGTTCAAACAAACACTCGAAGGTTATTTACAAACCATTGTAAGATGGCCGGAATGGTGCTGACTTACACTCAAACACAAACATGCAGACTGAATATTGGTTAGGCGCAATATACAATATTCAATCGTATGTCTTCCCAAAATAATCTCAAACACTCCTATACGCAAATGCAGCTTTATTGCGGGCTTAGTGAACAGATAGGCATCCCATTTTGAGGACGATTCACCATGGCCGTTGTACCGGTGAAAGTGATGTGTCACACTGATGGCTGATCCTGCATGCTACATTAAGTCAGCTCTGGAACTATCAATATGGTTAATAGGGAATTCTCCGGGGTCTTTTAGGTGCATGGTGTCTTTTCCTGATGAAAGACCCGAGGACCAAGTACAAACACGTTGATTTAACGATTTTCAAATGAATTGAGAGGTTACAAAACTGGAGTTACCACTAGTTTCTTTCTTTAACGCGTTGCTCAATGCTACGACAGGATCGTGCATAGGATAATCTCTCTACAGAGATCAATTTTATAGCTGACACTTATGGCCACAGCTGACATACATGCCTTTTAGTTTCATTGCAGTTTATAGTTTATCCCCAATCTCAGTTAAAATAAATCAAATGCAGTTCAATGCAAATCTGTTTAAAAATGTAAGCATAGTAATCCTCCAATCAGCTCGAACATACAATCCGAGCAGCGACGGACCCAGGCATAACAGAGTGTTCTGTCATCTGATATCGCTACCCAACAGCGATTAAAAACCTCTTTATTTCAATAATTTATGGAAAAGCTTGATATTTTGATAGGGGCTGTTTCTAAATGTCAATAGCTATTTAAGTCTGTTTCTTTATCTTTTCATAAATGTTTGATATTTTATTGGTTTCGCGTTGAGGCAAACCGTTAGCTGAATGCCTTGCTTTAGATATCGAGATTGACCCTTCTAAAATCGCCTAATGTAACTGCTATCAACGCGTCGAAACGGAATCGATACATTATGCATCTAGACAGGTATACTTAGCATGCTAAACCGTCATATATATGAGTATATACACAGTATGCTTCGGAGTATCCGATTTCCATTGAAATCACTATGGCAATCGCTGCGTTGCAGTTTAGAAACCTTACCTATAACAGCATGGTTTTTCTCATTGTTTACCGTTATAATTCAGGATATAGCTACGTGTAAATATTCTTCATGCATTCAGAATTCGCACATTCTTCATTTTATTTATTTCACCTCTTCATAACAAAATTAACTCTCTCGTGTAACGTGTCACAACATTTTTCTTCAAATCTTTTACACGTGTAGAGCACAAGGAGCGGTATTTCTACGTTGTATTCCCAGAAGTGCCAAGCCAGTTATCTACCCCCAGTCGTTTCCTATCACAGTCGCCCGGGGGAGCTTCCTCCCTGGCCCGACGCCGGGGAGGAAAATATCTGAAAAATGACTGTCTTTTTTTGCTTCTGAAAATGATTATAAGAAGTGTGTCTGTGAGTATGTCTGGCAATGCAGGGAGGATGTAGGACGGGCTATCCCGCCAAACCCCCCTCCCTCGTCCCGGGGGTGGGAGACGGGTTTTAGGGTGAGGCTCTTGTATTATCAGTCTGCGCGGAAAGGAATATTAGCCGAGTGTAATCAGACATGTATCTCACCATTTAACGTGATAAAACATGGAGATAATTTCAAACACTTCAATAGAACCGAAACCGCGTGCCATCCTCTGGAGCAGGTATAGTGGAGTGATAAAACCTTGTGATTCAGATACGGACTCATATAGCTTATATATTGTGTCTGAGGGGAACTTGACTTGAACACCTGAGAAGAAACGCAGCACGTTTTAACTAGACAAGTGGCTCAAATTACAGCACCTTTCTCAACTAGTTGGCCCAAATTTCCTCATACTTTTCATAATCACCGTCTCGCGCGGCCATCAGAGTTTCTGGGCGAGCGAGAGAACACCACCTTCAATCTCAAACAATTTTTCTCTCTCATTTCCTCTACTCCTTAACTCGAAACTAGCAAGCTGAACGCCAAACTGCGCGTAATTTACCCAAATTACAACTTTTCCACCGTTTGGTAATTTTCGCGGATGCACGTGGTTGCAAATACCCCCTTTCACGTAGCTTCCATTGTGCGAAGCCTAGTAATTACCACTGTCAATATAGCATATGTTGGTTATGAAACGGCGATGGTGGACTGAAGTGCCGCAGATATAAAATAATGTTTGATTCTAGCTCATTTCGCGTGGAATTGTGGGTTGCATTGAAGGACTGCTCACTTCCGGTGCATCGTATCATCAAACGTCACATTATCAGACAAAATCCCTGGTTTTCACGACCAAACGCAAATAGAAGGTTTTGCCATGGAATTAGATATAGCTAATTTGGTGTAGTCGATGATATTAGCCGAAATTAGTTTAGCAAACAAATTGAAAATACCGACTCAAGACTGGAGGTTTATATTAATTCTACGTCGCCCTCAGGCACATGGATAGTTCTTTCAATTGTTCTGATAATTCGTCGTATTAAATCTAGATTGGTTCCCGTCAAGATCCAAGTCAAAGACCGGTTTTCGTGTAGAAGTGTGCGCTGTCGTTCACGCGAAATCGCCTTCAATTCGAAACATCGCGTGCGGCTTCTGCTCGGGCCAATCTTATCAAATTTTCTGTCAATTTTCGCGAGAAAGAATCATGTTTCACAACAAGACGCTATGTCGTGATGCGCACTATTCTCCGATCACAACCTCCCAGAAGCACTCGCTCTGATTATGTCAAAGTCAACCTTGCGTATCTGCTAATTACCGCCAACTCGCGGTCCAGCCGAGATCGCGTCAAAATCACGCGTAGACACGCGAGACATCCCGAGGCAACTGATAAAATCATAGAAACAATTGAAGGACAATATTTGCAAGGTTATTGCTGATATTCTTGCGGTAATTAAGTTTCGTCTAATTTTCGCTGTCCACTTAGCAGTTGAGTTCCCAGCATCATACCCCAGGCCAACAGGGCTCAATCGTCGTGTTTAATGTAGCAGAACTCTAGCGCTCCTTTGTGGCAGTTGTCGACTTAAGAAGCCCCACTTTAATGAAAGAGCAATAGCACTCTATTACACAGTGGTTATTGCATCAGTACAACACCTTTCGTGGACTGCATAATTGCATGGAATGTTAATGGTAGACCTTTAACTCATATTCCCATCTCGGGCGACGTCAGTGTCAATTGATTCAAATGTTAATTAAAACACTTACTGGATCCAAGTGAGGGTCTGTTCTTTGAAGAATACACCTACCTTGCGTTTACAGTAAGATGAGGTAATTAAATGATTTACATACAAGTGAAATGGTATTCCTGAGAAAACTCTGATATTTGACAGCAATAGTGTATAAAGGGTTTGGGAGATCGGTGGGGTATGGAGGTATAATACATATCAGTGGTAGAGCTATAACGACATTGGAACCCCACCCCCACCCCTTCCTATTCAACTAGTGTAAATTGCTGTATACAGACAGATGTATATGGTTAGAGAGCTATTTCTCTCATTTCTACAGTATTTATTCTGACGACTAACTTTTTGAGATTTAAATTTGAAACCTCTGCAAACAAATACTGTGTATATTGTGGAGCCATTTCAGTGCATTGCCGCTTACCAACAATATGGCCATGTTTATATAGGGTGACTTTCTGCCCCCTCGCACTTGGATAACCCGGCGTATCACCCCCAGGTTTGTTGAGAACATTGACGAGCCTCTCGTACACACTACCATCCACACCTTCCTCGAAACACTCACCGGGTTTGGTCAACGCCAAGGTGATGTGCTGACTCCCCACTCCTTACTACCCATAGTAAATATATCATACACTTATATACGGGATATATATATATATATATATATGTGTTATTTGTGATTCAATGTTAAACATATCAGTATTTCGTCTTCAAGCAGTATTACATACTCATTAAGTCATAGCTTCTCTAAAATTAAGGAATTAAGTAAAAAATATAGTTTGCACTTATTATACTTACTCTACATTTGTAATCTATTTCTTTATAACAGCACATTTTACGCCCCAATTCTGTTTATGTATTTTTATTTTTAATCTGAAATATATCAGAAGTCAGTATACAATAATGGGTTTTTTATGTGGTTTTCTACTTTCGGTGCATTTTTGCCGATATCATTTCTTTAACATGAATTATTGATGTACTTCGACTTAGCTGGGAGAATAATGTACATAAAGATGATTACATAAACATTCTCCAGTGAATGCATTTCTTCCTATTATAGAAGGCATAATCTAAAGGGGCAATGTAATTTATTTCATTTACACACATTTAATCAGAATTGTATTCTTCCATTAAAAAAACTTACAATTGACCTAGTCATAAAATAAATATCATTGACTTAGATTGCCATCCCGTCATAATTACTACAGCTTTAAAAACAATTAAGGTATTTTCGTTAAAAGTCACGAGCAAGCTTGAGTTATTAGCAAAACATTATGAAAATAAATATGTAGCACTCTTGCAGGTGAGGTTGTAGCCTGGATCATGTATGGAGGAGTTGGATTATATAGGCTGTGTTTAACTGACGTGGACTGACCACGTGACCACGTGAGCCTCCTAATGTCATGAATCAGCAGCATTGACATTAAAGATTGATACTCAACAAGGCGAATCAGGATGACGAGCTAGGCTTTAAGCAATGGCACAACATAAAAAATACATTATCCTTAATCTGCGCTGTCAACCAGTACATCAATAATTTGTGTATGTCTGTGTACTCTTTATTTCAAAGTAAAAATCTACATAATTACCTTTATCTTTTGAAATATAATTATTCAAAATTATATTATATTCACATCTTTCTCATTTGAAATTTTGAATTTTATATTACTGACCGGTAGAATTTTTATTTCGATTCATATTCAACTTAATCAGGACGGCAATTGTTTCCTTTTAACTCCGTCCGCCATTGCTGGCTGTTGGGACTGATTGGCACATAAACCGAATTCTTCTTATTTTTTTTTAAATTCGTATTCTGAATTTGTCAGTTCTAGAAGTCAAGCTGTTCTTTAAGCCATCTTCCCATTATATTCGTCTAATTAAATCACAAAGCTGGTTCGAAAGCTTCCAATTGCGATTTTCTTGGCGAACAACGCCCTAACAATGGACTCTTTGGACAGTAAATATCTGGCGCGCGCCTTAGAAACTTCAAGCCGTAATGATCGCAGCTCTAGCGCTGATTACTACTGGAGTTTAACACTGAATGCAGTCTTTGGTAATATTTTTTCATGGCGGGTTAATTTGATGTAAATTTGTTTCACTGATTAGCGAGCTGAGCCGTTCAATTTCCTCCTCGATACAGCATTGCTAGCTCCGAAGCGACCTTTCCGTTCCGCTATATCAGGAAATTAAGGAATGGTCTTATTGGATTACTTCTTTTAACATTCGTAATTAAAAGCAAATTGTTGAGGCATTGTATTGTCCTAGCTTCACATGGAAGATACAACATCATGGATTAGTCGAGATCACAAAGAACACACACATTCGTTCGGATTAACCTGGCCCGAACGAGTTTTTCACCACATAGAAACGCTTTGCAGGCGACGAATCGAGTCTTTATTAATATTCTACATATTCTATTCATATCCGCTTCTTCAAATATTCATTGTGGTAGTAATCGCAATTCAAACTGTTTTGTCGTCCAGATTGAGATATAACGACATCAAACCCCCAAAAGCCATTCAGAATATTCAAATGCCTTTTCTCTCAACGCAAACAATATGTTACATAAATCAACTCGGCAAGGAACAATTATTATGCTTCTCAACGATGTGCTTTTTTCCCTTGATGTAACGCCAAATGGGATGTTATATTGCAGATCTTTAAATAATGTATATAATTACAATTATATTTATTTGCCTCGTAGTAATCATAAAGTTGGATCTAATGGAGCTAGTAAAACTTGAATGGCTGAATTAATAAAATAATTGGGCTTCCATTAACATGGAAGGATGTTTTAACAAGAGCGTATGAAACAGTTTATCGCGAGCATTGACTGCAGAGAAACTATCAACACTTTTGACATGTTGCATATCTAGACGTTTATGTCAATATTTGTCAGGATTTTTAATTCGGGAGTTTACACCGTCACTTAAAGGTTATTAATTCAACATAGCACGTGATGTTTATTCAGTTGCGTGTATGGAACACGTGCATTTACTCTAACAATACCGTTAAACGCAAGATCTATTTTAGGGAACGCTCCTGTGGGAGAACGCTTGTCTCGTAGTGAAAACAAAATGTATATTTCGTTTCAATTACGGATTATTTTTATTTATTTATTTATTTATTTTTATTTATTTATTTATAAATATATTTATTTATTTATTATCTTTAATAATTTTCGCTTATTAATAGGCATAGAAGTAATAACTATTGCTAAATTTCTCGAATGAACCGAGACAAAGAGAATTTGGTTTGTGTATTCGAGGCTCGGGTATTGTTTGAAAAATCTGTCGTTATGGGGACTGCAACCAGGGAGCAGATGTTTGCTTTCAAGGATAGCAAAGTCGTGACCGAGCCTGCACAGAAACCGCCGTTTAAACAGAGGGGCGCATCTATGAAATTAGCACAATCATTATTGAAGAAATTACAGTCTTATTAAGTCGCTACATGATACTCTCAATGGGCCAAGGGAAGCTTGTTCAATCCACGGTTCCACCATAGCGTCACAATATTCTCTGTGTGAGGATTTCCACCCACAATCATGTCTTCCCGGTTGCCCGGACCGCTCGATCCCCACCCCCCGGGCGGTCCACACCCTATTATCATTCGAGCAATTACCCCGTCCCACGGTCATTTTAAACCCCGGACTCATCTGGCATCACCCCAAGAAGTCCCTCACCAAATGTGCTGTGGTCTGTTCCCCTCACGTGCTCCTTGCGTTGATTGCACGTTCGTGCACGTGCATCAGGAGCACGAGACCACCTTATCTCAAACGTCCAACTTCTTTGATATTTCTTTGAAAAAATAAATATCGATTTTTAAAGAATTTTGCAGCGTTTGTACACTATTTTGTATGCAAATGTTCTTTCAGTCCGATATTCATATTCAAGTTTAATGAACATGGCGTTTAGCGCTTGGATACTCGAGACGTTTAAAGGGACATTGCTTTAAATATATACTGATTGTTTCGAAGCTACGTGCTTCATGAAGGTTATCAAACTCAGTCAGGATAAATAGTGCATAATTTAACATCTCGCCTGTCACAGTGGATATATGTTAAAGAAGTTTCTTGGTGTGATTTACTTGGAGATTATCATAAAGGTCCTCGGAGATTCGGTGAAGCTGTATCTCAGCATCGGGATCTGCGGTATCGTCTGACGTACTATCGTTCACAATCTTAAAACTATCCCATTGTGTGACGGCGCATTGCTTTTGTCGATGAATACTGATATACTACCGTTAGAGACCAGAGCGCAATAAAAATAAAAGCGCCCCTCCTCCCTCCCGCAATTTCGCCGATTCATCAATGTCACACCTGTAACTAAATGCCAGCAATCGGCCCAACCTGTCGATGCTAAAATAATTATTAGTTTTACCTTTATTTTCAACAGGGTATCCAGAAAAAGCGATGTCTGATAAGAAAGCCATTATTGTCCTATATCTGCTAATCTGTAGCTCCGTTTCCACTAAACACTTTGTAGAACTGGGCTTCTACGTCCTCGAAGTCGCAACCATGTCAATGTTTGTTTATTTATTTATTTATTTATTTATTTATTTATTTATTTATTTATTTATTTATTTATTTATTTATTTATTTATTTAAAAAACACCACTTCTGTAACACATTTCGCTTATTAAAAGGCAACGAAGTAATAATTTTGAAATAATATTTTGAAATAAACATATCACCAATATTCAGCTGTGAAAACCGGGCTGGAACAGGGAAAATATGAAACATCCTTTTTGTGTTTTTTTCATGTGCAAATTCCATTTCAATTAACATCAGTGTAAGTAATTGAATATGATACCACGTAGGTCGTTTTGATCAATGTGGTAATAATATACTTGGTGAATGACTACAGCTAGATTATTTAATTGGTGTTGAAAGATACGCTGCTATCAGTTAAACTCTTTGTGACTGTTCACAATATTCAAGTAGGTCCAATGCAGAAACGTATCGATAATGTGTCCTCTCTGACGTCCGCGCAATGTGAAGTTGTTTCCTGCCAGGTCCGCGCGTTGTCACCCTGTCATCTTATCATCCGTGGTATGTTTCACCTGTCAGAAAGGCCATCAAAGAGCGAGTAAAGCGGGAAGCCACGTGCATGCGCTATGTACAACAATGACGCGCACTGGCGCGGTTTTTAGTTCTCGGGGGGTGTTTAGGTCGCTTTGTTCATTATAGATTTTTCTAAATCTGGTTCCATCGATTCCATGTCAATTTCTCACGGGTAAATAAACTTTAGGACCCGATTGATCAGTCGAGACGGCGGTGTATAGGCTTATAACAATGGTGTGTGCAGTCGGGCTGTTTGGCCAGTTTCTATAGTAAACGGTCGCAATCTCACGCTTTTATCATTCTCTAGGTCTTTGTTTGTACTCCTTGAATATTCTCATAATCGGAGTTTATTTTCAATTCTTGGGTTGTTATTCAACTGAAAATATCATCGCCTCAGCCTTGATTTAACGGTGTTAAAGCTACTGGAAAATATTCTGTTTCTTTGCTCAATAATGGAATTTCTGTTTCATGAACCGTACACTGCCGCAAATCACACTGTTGAAATATTCCAATTCATTCCGTACACACAGAACCCGTCTGTACTCTGACAACGATTACACAGAACAGAGGTTCTCGTACCGAGACATGAATCAGGCTTCATTACTGCTAATGTATATAAAACGAGCACATTCTGATCTCATACATCCACACGTGCCATTTGCTTAGTCAGAATTTCATTTGTGTCCAGACGCGGTCTTTATGTGACCACAGCCTTTCTTTCATCTGTTGCAGAACGGAAACGGCTTGCAGCGCCCCCTGCAGGGAGTCCCCATGGTGGCATCCAGCCCCGTGCGTCACGAGGGGCCTGGAATCCAGGCCAGCCCAGTAGAGGTCCAGAGTTACCAAACTCCTTGGAAGGCCCTGAGTGAGTTCGCCATGCAGGGAGACATCGACCATCACCATCCCCCCTTCCAACAACTGGTGAGCAGTTTCTTGGCCCCTCCTGATGAGGATGATACGGTTGTATATCTCGAGGACCAGGGCTAGTCACGTGGCTGCTTCTAGCCAATCAGATGCTCCCATCTCTTACTAACGGTAATCTCTCCATCACTCCAGGCGCTAACCCACTACGCCTTTCTTGTGTCGTGACTGAGCTCGTCAGCCTTCTTGACCCTCTTTGTACGACCCCTCTCTTAATCCTTTTTTTCACGCGATCTTTCAAAAATACATACTGTATTTGTTTTACCTCTTAAGCTTACTCACCACCCACCCCCTAAAGCCTTCACGTTATTTATTAATTCGGTCGTCGTACATATAACAAGAAAGGTGTTGTGGCTGCCATCCCTCGATGTGTCAAGATTATATTGCACGCACGGGGAGGAGGGACTTTGGGGGACATTTTCATCCACACGTTGATCGTTCAGAGGAAACAATAAAACTAAAATAACATGAACATATAAGGAGTTCGTAACGGTTAATGAAATCAGTAGTTTGGGCCATGGGACAAGGCCATTATCAAGTGTATTGTATATTTGTTTTTATGATGAAATATCCAATACCTAGTCTCCAGCTTCATCTTTCCTGTCAGTAACTTTCCACAGAAATTCTCTCGCACGTAATTTGATTGGATGGTTATTTTTAGAATCGTGTCATTCGAATCGGATTCAAATTGAACTTATAGCAGAATATCGCTCACACTAGAATCTAGATGTAATACGTTACTACGCGAAGATTATACATAATAAGGAATCTTAGCCAGTCGAAGAAGTTATAGTAAGGAATCATTATACTTTAGGAACACTATACACAATAATTTAGTCATAATTTATTTAATTACACATTAAGCAAATGACAAAGATAAAAGTCCTCAAAGTCTTCAGCTCTCTCTCTCTCTCTCTCACTTTATCACCTGGGTTTTGGACCCATCTGTTATAGCACGCCCTTTTTGGTTGCCCTGTGTCCTCAGGTAGACCGTTAGTTTTCATTTAGCGGTGCTTCATTATTATTTCATATCATTTAAGATTTGTACATGTTGTTTTGCTTTATAGACAACACTGCTTTGCTTATTTATGCATAGATTGTATTATTCATATTTATTTAAGTTGTTCATTATCACTAAATATAACAGTTTGTAAAAATAGCCAGCGTTCTGAATAGACCATGTGGTTTTATTAATGAATAACGCTGGATCTTTATGTTGTTAAAACGGACACTCCTTTATCAGGACTAAAGATCAATCTTTCTCCTATTAAAATAGTAAAACTGTAATTATAACGTTTGTTGTAATGGAACGACTTGCATGTATGTAGTCGTGACGTTGTATTAATGTCGACGTTACTGCGTTCCAGATGTCAACGTTCGACAACATGGAAGCCCACTGCGGGGCAGGGGGAGCGTCCCCACAGAGCGACCCCCTCATGCACGTCTCCTACCTCCACCACGACGACATGCCCAACTCCGTCAGTTCCGACTTTCCCCGAACACCGTCAGAACTCTCGAGTCCGCTCAGTCAGTGACGGTATCCCGTTGGCGGCGTCTGGGACTGACGTCGCCTCGGACAACTTACTCAATCAACCTAGTACCTCACTGCCACTCTGTTGGGGGCAGGAGACCCATATTCCGTTCAGGGCTCCTACGCGCACAAGGAACACGCCCATCAACGTCCCACCGGCTGGTCCTCAGTCTTAGTGTAAACTGGGCTTACCTGTGTGCAGTGTGGACGTACGAAAGTCATAGTGAGCCAGACTCCAAGTCAAACCAGGAAGTGGAGGACCGGCACCGGTCCGGGTTTTACACGGGACGAGTATCTGTGTTAGCCTACCATGTAGGTGTTGTTATCAACCGGATCAAGGGTCCGGACCAAGAATGTTGTGTTGACTCGTTGTGAAAAATGTGGATATATATAGGACAAATGAAATTATGAACAATGTATATAGACAGTGGTTTGTGTCATTCTCGTGCTGTGCTTCTTATTGTTATTTTTGCACGAACTGAGCGCGTGGCTCCGAACTATACCCCACCCACCCCTTATTGGGGGGTGGGGTACGACAACACGTCTGTGCATTGTTTACACCACAGAGTAGCTATGTGATCTTGTCTTCTCCATGTCGTGCTGTCATCTCTCTCATCAGCACGTGCAGAACGTGCAATCAAAATGGCGTCCTCTAGTGTATCTCACTCAATCATCCCTATTTCTTGAAAAACATAATTTAAATTATGCAATAAAATGTGTACAAATGTGATTATTTTTCCTTTATGCTATTAGGCATCTGCCTTTTCAGAATATCAGAGCAACGACTTTGCATACGTACGATATATGTACGTTGACGTACACAGATGACAAAAGTATCATTACAGCCAACGAAACGCATGGGGTTCCTGCGTTATACCGAAAGAAAATGTTCCATGACACTTCGTATGCTATAACTATATTTTAAAGTGTGTGCATATAGACCTAGCAAGTCTTGTGTATTCATACGAGTAGCTATATATCACAAAATATGAAACAACTATAAAAGGTTACACACTTAAGTGAATCTAATTGATTTCAGCAACAAATACTATTATATTCGTATAAGAAGACTTTATATACCTGAGCTGTACTCCCAATTCATGTTTGAGGACAGACACGTTTATCTCTGCTGACGAAGTCTATTCTTGTACACTCTCTGGTTAATGGTATTGGAAGTTATTTTCACATGAAATATTGCAAACAAAATATGAGATCGCGATTCCAGTTTACGACAGGAATACAGAATTCCTGGTGTGATGACATCGGACAAAGAGCATAGTCTTCCACAAGGAATCAGATTATAATTTTATATTTATGAATTAACATACCTTGCCGCCGTGTCCATTCAAGTCGCCATATAGGTCTTCAAAATATTCTACCGCTCCTGAAAGTCTAACGGTTAATCTATTGTGGTATTATGTGTTCTAATGGATTATTTGGATTCTACCGTATTCCTACCATGTAACGACTCTTTTAGTTCAAACTACAGAAACATATCGCTTGGTACTAAATTACTGGACACCGGCACCGATTTGGTGTGTAGAAGAATCAGTTACATGTTACAAGTTACATGTTGCACATCGGGGTTGCAGTAAAATTACAAGTGACGCGTTGTATAGTGGAGTTTCATAGCAATTACAAGTTACATGTTGCACATCTGGGTTGCAGTAAAATTACAAGTGACGCGTTGTATAGTGGAGTTTCATAGCAATTACAAGTTACATGTTGCACATCGGGGTTGCAGTAAAAGTACATGTGACGCGTTGTACAGTGGAGTTTCATAGCAATTACAAGTTACATGTTGCACATCGGGGTTGCAGTAAAATTACAAGTGACGCGTTGTATATTGGAGTTTCATAGCAATTACAAGTTACATGTTGCACAGTACATGTGACGCGTTGTACAGTGGAGTTTCATAGCAATTACAAGTTACATGTTGCACATCGGGGTTGCAGTAAAATTACATGTGACGCGTTGTATAGTGGAGTTTCATAGCAATTACAAGTTACATGTTGCACATCGGGGTTGCAGTAAAATTACATGTGACATGTTACACACTGACACACGGATAATCAAAATTACTATTTAGAAAATGAAATAAATAAATTACATTATCGCATAACCTACTCGAATTACGCATTTACAACCTGCTTTAGTGACTAATTAGTGGATTCACTGATACATCGTTTCCTTACAGAGTTAGAATTAAGACATTGTCTACTTTCCTATCCAAATTTCCAAACCAACTTGGGTTCATCTATGGCGAACCAGAGCTAAACATCTTGTATTATGAATGACTTCATGTCCATATCGTGAGTACATAGGTTCAATATTTACACGAGAATAATGAAATGTACATTCTTTACCATTGACTCACACGTAAAACCCTTAATACCTTACTTAAAATTACTTAATTATTTCCTTTTATTAACATTTCAGGTTAATGTTCATTCATATTTTTTGCTTTGTAATTTACACGGTGATGTCTATTTGGTCTGACTCGCGGCTTTGTTCTGAAGCTGTCAACACTGCAATCAATGCCTTTATTCAACGTCCGACCAACCTACTCATTTTCGGTATATCGAATTATTTCTGTTGTTTATCAAACCCAAACGCCATTTTAGAAGCCACGACACAGATCGAGAATTCTATATTTCTTCAATATGCCTAATGCTTACAAACAGATTCTTCAAAGTGAAAATTCTAAAAATCATTTTACAAAACCGAAATGGCTCATTTGAAAATATTATTTTAGAGAAAAAGGCGCAGCTTGTAAAGGCGTGGGGAGTAAATTCAGCCAATAAGCTATAAAACGCAATTGTTAAAATGTCAGTACGGCAATAACTCATGGGATAAACAAAACAAAAATGATATGTTTGTTTTACGCCTTCGAGGCAGTGATACATGGACACTGTATGAGCTGATCGATCGAAAATCGATCTCGATGGCTTTTACTTGAATTGAGCGATTGCCTTTGCGTCTGTCATCTTGGCTGAGTTGTCAGTGACATCTCACAACGTTGTCTCATGGCTCACAACATTATCGATTTTTATATCTAGAATAAAAGTCCGTCAAAATCTAGAGAAGCTTAGGGTTACATAAATATTGATGTGTGCATAGAGAATGCGGTGAATCGGGAGGGAATATCGACTTTATAACCACTGTCACAAAATGTCACACAGCAAGGTAGCAATCAAAGACAGCGAGGAAGCGATCTCTTAGGAGGTCCGTGTTTCTACACCTCCGTTTGGAGGTACATGTCTCAAGGAGCTGTGTAGTCTATTTCTGATATTCTGTTGACATAAATATACATTTTATTGTCTTCGCATTCGTTTCCTTACCACGTGATATAACTTCAACTCAACAGCGGTGAAGAGTATACTGTTTAATGTATGGTGTTATGACTAACGTAGTGTAATAATGAGAGAAAAAACTGATGAAATACACAAATATTTATATGCACAATATACTTAATAATATTTTTGTTTAAATTTTAGATTCCAGCGGGCACTAAATCATAATTTTCGGAGACCCGAGACATAAACTGCAAGTTCCTGGCGGGTCAACATGTGGCAAGCTCCCTTCATTTTATACTTATTTTAATCGTTCATATGTGCATGCACAGAAGCCTTAAGCTCATAGATTGGTATTTCAATGTGAGATTAGAAGACACTAAACCACTGACACGCTGAAGTCAGGTTGTATTCCATACCAGAATAGAAATACACAATGTAGTAGTCATACGTAGCACCCAACTCTCGTTGACCAAAACATTCTGTTGATTCCGCTAGAATTCAATGTCAGTTATTTCTGACCATTCAAAATTTGTATGTGGTAAGACGTGTTATTTTGTGAAAGATATAATCTTTGCCAGGATTTCACTCCCTATATTCTAGCCTTTTCTAGTTCGTGTATTCATGTTCATAATCAGAGCTACCATGGACGTGACCACGCATATCAAAGGAGCGACAATTTTTAAGACCAAGGGTATATTCAATAACTTTTTTCATTTTTCATATTATGTGTCAAACACTATTTTGTATAGGTGACATTAATACACCATAAACGAAAAGTCTAGTTTCTGATATTAACTGAAAAAGTATGTTGCGTGGATAATTTCTTTGAGTGGCATTTTAGAATTTGGGAACTACAATATTGACAACGGTACCAAAATCTGTATCGAAATGTCACACTCACGAAGTAAAAAGAAGTCGTTTTCCATAACGTTTGTCAATATTGCATGAATATTATTTCAGTACTCTATTATAAATTTCAATTCCTTCCACAAACCACACAGTTGTTCTAGAGTCATGTTGCACTCATCATTAAACCCTGGACAGTGAAAGCTGTTTAAATATCAATGTAACTCATTTTAAGAACATGTCATGATTGAAATCCGATCGAGATGTGTCATACTAGGGCAGAATGGACGTACATTTGTATCGAGGATATATCCCAGCCATGGGGTCATTTTGTAGGTTTTATCAAGAACCGTAGAGCCGGAAACATTAAAGTTCAACTGATATTTTTTGCGTGATTTTTTTCGCACTTTTTTGGTGTTAAATCTCCCAACACTTCCTGTTTGGATGTTTCTTTATGCTCTGCAAACTACCCGGTAAACAATCTCACTGGCGCTGATTCTGAATTACAAGTTATCTCAGATTTCGCACATTTGTTTGATAAGTGTGACGATCCATTTATCAAGTTTTAATATCTATTACACATTTCCACCGGTTGTGTTTGTTACTGGTAAAAGTGTGTAACACACAAACATAAACAAAATCGAAAGAAATAGTAAAAAAAGCAGGAGATTTTATATCTGTCTTTCTCGTCCCCGATTAGACACGATGTGTGGCCTGTAATAGCGTCTGTTTATAAGGTGGTGAATATATCGTTAAATGCACCAATGATTATCTACAATTGGTTTAAAATATAAAAATTCATGTGCCTTTTAGAAAATTTAATAGTTTCCGATACCATGGTTTAAACATCTAGCTAAGTACATTGAAAGTTCATATTCACCCTAAATTTACAAATACGTACGAGTTGACGTGCATGACAGATACTAATATGAAAATTAATGTTATATTGATATATACCCATAGTGTGCTGATAGAAGTCTGAAACAAATGGAAACATTTTGTGTTTACCGTAGTATGTATAATTTACCACCTTGGTGAAAATGTCCATCCTAACTGCCGTACAACAAAAAAGTACTTAAATATCGTATTCTTTCATATATACATGTTAATGTCGTCGTATGACAGGAAAACTATAGTAATATGAAAAAATAGTATTCTTTATTAGGATTTTCCTTCATTTCTTTTGAGTAGTATGAATGGAATGTCGTAATTTGAAAGATGTGGTTAAATACAAATCATATTAAAGGTGCAAATGAAATACATTTTTTAAATCAATCAAATATCCTAGCTGCATCCCCATCACCACCACCATCCTGGAAGCAAGTTCCAAACCAAAAACCCATGTGCCCATGTCTTCAACGCAAGGAGGTTCAAATTCCAGCGAACGTTACAACGCAGGCACTTTCTTCAGTAACGCCTGATTTGACCACTGGGTAAGAAGCACGTGCTTCGTCAGTGTCGAGTCCGAACATTGCCAGTGTGTACACATTATATACGAAGGCTTGGTTCAATACCTGGCCACTGGGCAGTCAGCGCTCCAAGCCCCTCCTCGTCAGGCAGGAATACGTTATCGATCACTGCCCGAGCT